CCACTTGTCACAGGGCTTGGGACTCGGATTAGGGCAATGCAAGATTTGTAGCCATTAAGGATCTGCTCATTTACAGACCTTATGTCCATAGGACCACATCAATATCATCTTTGGAGTGAACCAGGAATGCCCGAGGCCCTTTTGTCTTCTGAGAAAGATTTTTCCATACAAGACCCTTTGAAAGTTTCTTCTGAGATACCTGATGGAGATGGGCTATGCTTTGCTTCATAAGGTGATCATGGATAAATATCCTTGTGGACTGAGGGAGATGAGTCTCCTTTTCATGAAACATGCAGGCATACAGCTTTTTCTTCTTGACCTTAAATATACATTATTTCTTTTGCATAGACTGACAAACCTCACAATGATTTACAGGAGTATTTCATGGCATAGATTTCAGGTCTTCATCTACATGTTGCAATTGACACCAGCACCAGCACTGGCCAATGGGAAGGAGATCACAATCACTCTTCAACCCACTGACCAAAAGGGGTCATTGGCCGAGCCCCAATTATGATACGTGCCTATTAACATGCAGGTGTCAAAACATTGCATATTGAATATCCAGTATTCGAGTTTTTACACTAACAGACCCACAAGAGGACAATCATCAAGCAATACTTGCCCAGTTCAGTACAAGCTACAGTAGTTCATAAAAAATGGATTTCATATATTTCTCCTTTCCACAGCCAAGACCAGTCCAATGCTGATTCAACATTGCCAAGAATAGCCTTGTTAACATGACTTTAGTGCCCTGGAAACCATGCCAGATGAACCTGCTTCCCTCTCTCCCTTCCTCCATCCCTCAGAGCATTGGAGGAAAGGAAACAGGAAAATCCTGCAGGCGAACAAGGCATTTTTGAAGAGACCCAGAGGATGAATGAAGTTCTGAACCCCAAACTAAAGAGGGCAGAGAGGAACTTGAGATCGAGGCCACTGCTGTTAAATGATCCGATTGGAAAGCTGTCACCGTCCTCAAAGGAAATTGTCAATCCAGAGAAGTAGGCACAAATAGAGATACTGCGAAGCAATCAAAGAGTCACTAGTGTGCCTTGATACCTCACTAATGTATGGATTAAAAATGTTGGTACGGAATATTATAAAACATTACAAAATTATTACAATAACTTGTGTGCAAAATACTGTGAACCATTTGCCTAAAACATGAGAGTCATACCAAGGCCCTTTCAAAAGAACCTCACCAAAATGACCAAATTAGCAACATCTATCAATACAGCAACCTGAACTCTTTGGCTGACTGTCCATTTGCCATCTGTCTACAGTCATAGAATGACTTCTCCTTTGTCCAAGGAGAATGAATACAGAGTCAAAAGCAATTCCAATGAGAAGACCACTGGCCTCTGAATGAAACCTTCCTTGTGTTCCTGCTGTACAATTCACAAACATATTGACTGTTAATGCACACAGCTGTATCCCTTATATGACTAAAGATCACTATGGCAGTTTTGTAAACATGAGTGCATCGGTGCATATTTCTCCAAAATATATGTAAATAAGATATGTTGGATAACAGAATGGAAAGGAAGCAGATCACTTTGGAATAGGGCATGTGTTGAGCATGGGTTGATGCATCACACAGGGTATGCTCTGCACTGCTCTCCAGTTTCATGCAGGAAGCAGGGCAGAAGCTGGTACAGGTAAGAAGGGGAAGAGAAATGAAAGCTTTTCTAAGGTGGCTCCCAAGATCATCCTGCTCCAGTATCCTACCCTCTGCATTTGCTCCCTCCATACCATCATCAGGGTGGGGGAAGGTGCGGTCACCATGAAGAGGATTTGGAGTCATTGATGCCTCAATCGATTGATAATGAGAGAGAAACATTAATTGATGCATGATGATACCCCTATTTTTTGTATCAATACTATGAAACATCTATCAAGCTGTGTCCACATGCCTTTTTAAAAACACTTTCAGGCCCATACCCTTCACATGATGTCCTATGTTCATTGAGTCCTATGTCCAATCTTGGGGATTGAAACGGTCACTATTCTCCATTCAGCACATAATTCCTTTAGCATGGGCAGGGTGCAAGCCCAGCTCTGACATGGGCACCAACGGTACCATACTGGCAGCTGATACCAACCACCAAGGTCACCAATACATCGGCACAGCCCCGTTCATATAGACTATGCCTTGCATGGCATAGTCTAGAATGAGGCAGGGTGCATCAGCTCTGCATAGAATATGATGAGTTAATAGAATCCTATCCTCCAAACAACCTCCACATAAGACATGTAACTTGTAATCATTCAATTACTACTCTCTAAATAATCTTCGTGGGCATTTAAGTGAGCAGGACCATGGACTCAGAGAGACCATCCACCATTTCAATTCCTTGGATGACTGCATGGGGCACAAAATCTGCCTGATACACAAACAGTATGGAAAAGCATTCTGTTCCAAAATATTATTTCAAAAATGAAGAAAAATATAAGAAATATGAAGGCTGATAAGGATTTGTCTAAGAAACATTCAGCCATGAATAGATGGAATCAATTTTAATATGACAAAATGTGAACAGAACAGACCTGCCTTGCTTTGGAGTCCCATGAATTGATTGCTCTGAAGAAAACTTTGAAATGGCAAGCTGGATGCTTTGTCTAACACTTTTAATGTTGACACAGCTCACAACAGCAGAGATTACAATTACTCAGCATTAGTCAAGTAAACTATCTAAAGCTCACAACATTGACATGATCTTGATAGAAATGAAATGGGTGCCATATAGAACATTGTCTTGAATTGCAGATGATCTTACCCATATTGAAATCCAACCACTCATGAATAATAGCCAATGAAAAGGCAGACAGGGCCTTTGACACTGTATAATGCTGTTTGCAAGGATATACATGGATGCATGAGAAAATCTATATTAGACCTTTTCATTTTTTGGCATTTCAGTGCAACATTTGCTCCATGCACGAAGAGTCACATACTCTTTCATTTAGGGCCTATTACACTAAGTTGTGGCTTGCATGCTTCTGTTGTAGATTCCAGGGAAGATCAGAAAGAGAGAACACCCAACATCTTAGAATTCCTTGAGAGAACCTTCCTAATGTGGGAATTTCAGCAAATGCTTCAGGAGGCAACTGAAGTGTCTCATCAACTAGCTCAAATTTTTATGAATCGGTGGCTGATGAGAAAGATTAAGGGAATTCCATGGGCACAAGCTACTTTGACTTTGCAAAGCCTTTACATACTTCTTCTCAGAAGATGTTGCAGACTGGATTTGTGTTGCAAGGGACTCATGATGGGGAGAGCAACTGATTAACTAACTTGTAGCCAGGATGAAAGCTTAGCACGGTTGTGTTTGGAGAAGTGCCAGAAGAAATCAGCATCACGAGCAGAGTCCTTGGGCTCCATCCTATGACTGATCCTTGGATTCTGAGAATTCTGTTTCTCTGAGTATAACTGCTCAAAACCTGCACAGAGATCGATCCACTCAGTTCAGACACCAAAGCTTTCACGAGTTCTCATTTTACCGATTGCACACGACCACAACATTATGGTCGTCCGGTGAGGCCGGGAGTACGGGGAGTGGGAATGGAACTCTCGAGCGGTTTCGGGTGAATGCCCGTCACGGGACTTTGACGATCGATTGGGAAAAAGAATACCTTGTGTTTTGCTTACTGTCACCCAGCATCACTCTCTTCAAACACCCTGATCCATGTTGGAACAGACATTAATCTACTCCTATCATAGAAAATGTAGCACACCCAGTACCAAACTGGACAGAAGTTGATTCTCAGAGAGGAATCCCACGTGCCATTGGCATAAGATGGTTGCATGCAATTCAACAGTCTGGAGCTAAGAACTTGAGAAATGTAAAGAGGAAAAGCAAAATGCCAAGCTGGAAATGGAATACCATGGCCAAAGAAAAACTTTCATGCCCACTCTAGCTGCACTCTGTTATTGTTGGGTCTTGATATAGCCCTTGGCTTGATGTAGAAGAGAGAGAAGACAGAACAAAATTTGCATGTCAAGAAAACTTAAATGCAGCTGTCAAGGCTAGCTTCCAGTTCTTGTCTAAAATATTGCATTGCAGGATGGTGAGGCCATAGCATGGTGCATGGCATTTTTGGGACAAGAGATATCATTTTAGACCTGTAATAAGTGAGAAGATTGACATTCAGATTTTTGGCAATACAGCAATTCTGCAGACTAAGCCTCTCCATGGGTCAGTGTCTTGAGTATTCTGCCTGGGATTGCTTCATAATGGCATTACAAAAACACATTCATGTTGTTCTGGCCCAGCTTAAACTTTTTTTAATCTCCTCTGCATGAAGGCCTACATTTCATCCTTCATTCCCTTCTTCTTACACCATCCCATTCATAGAGGTGCATAACTCCCATGTAATCAAATAATAACTTCCTTGCTCCTTGTTATGAACGAAAGCACTTCTCAAAGTTGTGCCAGGGGGAAACCCGCACACCAATGAGTTTTTTCAACTCAGAATACCCATAAGGAATGTTAGGACCATGGACATTTCACAAAAATGAGTTTGCCATACTATCCCAAAGGCATCCTCATTTCACATTCTAAGTGAATTTGTTTCTTCTCCCTTAAAGGGACTAGGACAGTTAGAATTACACACAGCATCCATGAATGAAAAAATTATCAATATGAACAGGACTTGAGATGATGCACTTGTCAAAAAATCATAAACAATTGGCTTTTGGATGGGATCTAACCACTATTTATGCTAGTATGCTTTGCAAAAGAGAAAACACAGTTTAAAATGCCTTCAATCTTGTAAAGCCATCGTCTCTTAAATTACCACAAGGGATCGTAGGGACGACATCCTTCTCCTTCCCCGTCAACAGGCGAGCTCGTGCAGCCGGGGCCTGATGTAAAGCCTCAGTCGCTGCACGGTTGGCTTCGATGCTCCGATGACCTCCCGAGAGCCGAATTGCTCCTACATTCAGCAAGAGATGCACAATGTAGTGGATATGCAACACCTTCTAACTCCTCAAATAGCTTAAAGGAAACATTATCTGTCTCAGATCATTTAAGAACAACTACAAACCTGGCATAGAGCTACTTAATCTTACACATTGTAGTATGCAATACTTAGGAGCATTTTATTCAGAGAATGCTTCTTGATCCTTCAAGGAGAGCATTTCTTTCAATTGTATGTAAAAAATGAAAAAGGGAGGCGAGCAAATAAGTCAAAATAGGCCTTTTCAGGGCAGGAACAAAAGAGGGTGAGGAGGTAACACTAGAAGGCCTACTTTGGCATGATATTCCAGCTTCTCATTCTTTTTTGCTGACTTGCGTCTCTCTTGTGGTGGAAATGGCACAAGAGTCGCACCTGCTTACGATGGCAGTCCGGCCACAAAGGAAGAGGTGGAGGTGATTCTACTGATCATCAATGTGTCACCCAGGAATATCAAGGCCATCTGTAAAAGAAATACTCAGTTGCCTAAAAAAATATCATGAAATGATAATGCTTGCAATGAAGGAAACTACAAGTGCAACATAAAGTTCAGCTATGGCACTGACAGAGTGCAGGATTACCAGTGAATGAGCTGGAAGTAAAGACTGTGACTTCTGTGTTCCAGGAAAGCACAATGTCCACAAGATCCATATCTAAATAAATATGGATAAAACTAGTTTCTGTCATACCCCCAATGGCAAAACAAGTAATATCAGTGTGTGGAGTCTCTAAACCTGCCAGGGGACCAGCGAAGGGGTCAGTCTTATGCATTAAAATCATATGAGGGTGAGATCTCTTATATATCTACCCCTAAAATTGAATTTGCACAGGTTAACTGTTGGATTATGCATATATCCCAGGAGTTGTAGATAAGAGGGAGGTGAAAAAAGAACAGCAGTTGAAATAATTCAAGGATAGGAGCATGCCAGCCAATTTTTGGAACCCAACCCAATGGACCGAATGCAAACCTCGGCCCTTGGCAGACGTGTGACACGATCGGTGCCCCAACTTGACTGGCCCAAAAAGAAAAAACTTCTGCTGGTGTTTTTCCTGAACCTTTCGCCATCATTTGAGACTGCAATGCAAAAAACAATTATCCCCCAGTCTCCTTAATTATAAATATTCTTGACATCACATCCAAACAAGAAATTCCAGTCCAGGAGCATACTGTCTCTAATTCCTGTCAAGAAGCAAGATAAAAAGAAATAACTTCAAAGAATTCGGCCTGAAGCAGCTCAATGTAAGGAGGGATTGGCAGAAATCCAGCCTCAAACACCCCACATGTTAGGCAGGGTTGTGGGCATTGGGTCAGCCTTCAGTCCATGCAGGACTCCAAATTTTGTACAATCGCCAGCAGAGTGCAGGGTCGGCACGGTCGAGCCGTCAACCCGGTGGGACCGTGGTCCCTAACATGCACCAGCCCCGATGTCATGCATGGAGATGACAATACTGTAACGGCCCAGCCGGCACGACACCCATTGAGTGGCCTAGCAGGACTGCAGGTATGCGAGGGAAGAACTCTCTACGAGTCGCCCAGGAAGACCACAGTGTGTGCATGACCTCCTAGGTGTCACGCCTGACCTCTGACCCTTAACCCCAATCGACAGATCTGTTTTAATAACCTTCTTTATGTCTTTGTTTCTCAGCCACCCCTCTTTTCATTTCCGTCTAATCTGTGAAGATTAGAGACAGAGTTAGACTTACATTTCAAGACAGTAATTCGGCATCCGAGCGCCAAGGAATGATGGCATGTACTACTAGATCGTACCCGTCTGAGGAGTGAGGTTCTTCCCTTTTTCAACCAGGAAGTGAGAGCAGGGAGCTGATTACAGCCCCTATCTTATATTCTTTTCGCTGATCGTCTACGGGCGATTAGCAGCAACTCTCTTTACCCTACGGGATTAGACACTCCCGTCGTCCTCATCCTTCTCGTCCCTATCCCCTGAACCTTCTTATTCCACGGGAGTAGACGTTCCCGATTCCATGAACCTTCATAACCCTCGGGAGTAGGCGTCCCCGATCCATTTATCCATTTCGTAATATCTCAGGATCTCCATTTTCCAATCTGTCATTTTCCAATAAAACCTGCTTTGTATCAGCCCTGACCCCTGGCCCTGGCCCTGTTGTGATTCCCACCACCGGTAGAAGAGAACGCACGGAACCGTAACAATACCAATGTAACAATCCTGATAGCATGGGGGACCCACATCTCAAAAGAGGCAGGAATTTGCAATCCAAGTTCTCAGAGCTAATGTGATAGCCGTCAGCAGCATTTTGGCAAGGACTCTTTATAGAGTTCATTCCATACTTTATAAAAGCAATCGAACAAAGTGCATCAAAACACATTCATCAACATGCAGATCAACGATGGAAACTCCACCGAAATCCATGGAAAAATGAAAATGCTCCAAGCCTAACTGATCCTTAAAATGGCAAACGATGAGGCTCAGCACCTGATCCAAGTGAATAGCCTTTCTGCCACTGCACCATGTCACACTCACTTCATGAGACTAAAACTGCATGGAGAACATGGAGAAACTGTTGTCTCACGAGATCCCATTGAAGGCGATTGCTTGGCGACGAAATCTCTTAACTGTTAGATCAAAAGACGATGACTGGGAAAAGTGATCCGTTCGTCCAGGCCGCGGAAACGACCGACCAAAACATTTATCATCCCAAGAAGGTACGGGAAGCAGCTAGGCCTGTCCCGATTGAAGTTTGGGCCTAAGCGTAAAACTGCTTCCTAAATCGGAAGACTAGGCCTCACAATTAACTCGCGAAATTCAAGCGTTTCTCTTTGGCATATGAACATTTCACGTGAGTCCCATGTGGATGCGCGGGAACGCAGACGGCCTAACGCATCACGTCGTGCCAACAATCCGCCTTTCCCGATGGAAACCTCCAAACCCATCAGAACGGGATGGAACCTTCACGCGAGCAAGTGGCGGGCTTCCGGGCTCTCCAGGATGTCATTCTCTGACGTCACGTGACGTCACACCTGCCGAATTCTGTGATTGGTCGCCGATGCGATTCATCCCTATCCCTCGAACGTAAATCGTCAAAGATAAGAATGAAGTTGCTCCGTTGATGCAAATCAATTGCCGCCTTTCCCGTTTCTTCAAACACCGTTCGCGTTTTGATTCGTATTCTTTCCAGAGGGCATTTGGAAGGACGAATTCGGGAAAGCTTCTTATGCTCTCGACACGGAATCGCTCCAGCGAATTTGAAGCTCTTCTCCTTTGTTGCGGAGAATAGTGAATCTCGCTTCTTGAAGATATCATTCCGATTTTTTTTCCACCACTCGTGGAGGAATTTAGATGAGATAAGCCACCGAAAAGATTGGACTTGCAGAGTGAAAAGTGGAATATTTCCTTTAAGCTTAGCGCGGGCTCCAGTCGCGTCACACAGGGTTGCCGGATATCGGGTAAGTGTTACATCGGATTCCTGAAGGCTTCCGCTTGGGTATTGGTGCCAGGGTCTTTCTATTTTTACGAATCGCAAATTTTTTGCCAGGTTCATGGAATGGGGTGAGCTCAAAGCAATTTTCAGCTACGGTCTGGGGGATATAGAGAAATCGCTTTCGGACATCACTGGACCAACCGGATGGCGTCTAGCAATCCGGAGGCAGTCCGTCCGCCGATCCGGTCGAGATGGGAACTACTGGCGAGCATAACGTTACGCGTTCTTTCTTCCAAGGAATAGGCCCACGATCGGCCTCGCCGAGATGTCTCGTGAACCCCGATGAACACCTCTATAGACCTACTAGGACCCGTCTGGGAAGAGTTGAGATTTATTTGTAGGTAGGAGGGTAAGCCTAAGCTCGACCTAAAGGCCGTCTGTAGGCTAGGCCTAGGCCTAATGTGTGCCCCGAAGTAAATATCGTCGGTTCGGAACCAAATCCGGCACCTGAGAAGTCGATATCAATAACGGTCCTTGACCTGATAAAAAGGACGGAGAGCCTCCACAATAGTGGCGTATTTTAAGAAGGGGCGGGGGAGGGCGAGCCTTCCCCCCAACCTCCTCCGCCCCCACTAGTACCCCTGGAGCAGAGCTTAGCAGGGCGCTATGGAGATGAGAATTTTCTCTCCTGGTATCGCTTGAGCGGGGTTTGGCCCCCCCCCCCCCCTTTAGCTGCCCTTCCCCGCTGATTTTTCACCCAAAATGCGCAAATGCCCCCCCCCCAAAAAAATTCAAATTCAAGAAAATGTCCTCAGTGAGCCTGTCGCAGTCCTCAAAGAAGTGAGCGTCGCCCACCAAAATCGAAAGGCAGATTGAGCAAGATATTCTCATTTACTTTGAATGATAATGAGAAAGGAGAATTTCCTTTAGAATCCCAGAAGAAGAACACAGTTGCGATTGAAAATCTTTGAATTGGACCACTCTTTCTTTCTTTCTCTCTCCCTCGCTCTCTTTCTCTCTTTCTTTTCAAATTGCTTTCTCATCTTCCGTCCACGGATTTCGAGTCTAGTCCCGTGAAACATGTTGAGACAGGGCAAAGTTCCACACGAAAAGACATTTCATGAGAACTTCGCCGCGTCCTGGCGAGTTTCACACATTTCCTGGCGACGGTCAACCACCATTCAATGAATAGAAACGTTTCGATCGGTTTCTTGCGGATTCAAGTGCATCAGCCAATGCTTTATCACGGGGTTTCCTTCCACAAAACCGCACGTCATTCGTCATTGACGGATTCGATTTGTTCTGCGGTTCCAGCGCTCAGAGGCATAACAGACGAGACGCTGGACAATTTTATACAAAACACCGCTGCATGTTATTATGAGTTTATCCAATGTAATGGCGAAGAGTTTGAACATGTCATTTGACATATAACGTTATTTCTATTTTAAATAATTTAAAAAATGTACGTCAGTAAAATTTGAAACAATTTCCACTTTGAAGCTTCTTGCAGGGAAAATGTGTTCGATAGAAAATCCCCTTAAGAAAAATTATTTCGGGATGAACTTCAAGACTAAAATCGTTACTCATATTCGTACCGCGAGAAGCACTTCTGTGCCAAATATCAGTATTCAAAGCGAAATATCAAACATTTCCTTTTCATGACTCGTTATTCCTCGTAACGACTGTCCTGCATCCTTTCGGGACTTCTGTGGAAATCCATTTTGCCTCTGTTGCATCCATGCCTTCCCTCATCAGGTCGAGGCCGACATCCATTTTCTTCCGAATTTGCCAGGGGAAAATATTGCCGGTGATCGAGGAAGCCGAGGAAGGAACCAGATATAGATGACCGACACAGGCAACGGAACAAAAAGCATCGGAACTGGTATGAACTTGGAAAGGTTTTAAACCGATTTGAACCCATTCGAACTTTGAGCTCATAAATATTGCAGGGGCAGTTCATTCGAGCTGCCACATGACAAATTTCCAAAAAATATATATGTATATAAAATAAATAAATCCTTCCACGGCACCTGCCGGAATTGGAGATATGAGGGGGGATGAACCACATCCCAGACCTCATACTCGTCTTAATTCTGAAGGACACGGCGAAGGATGCTGGCCGTGCCCAAGATTGCTGTACGCTGGAGGATATCCAGTGATATTTCACACTCCAGCTTCTTGACATGTCCTTTGAGGTCTTTCAGGACGACGCCAGTTGACACCCAATGCCAGACACCCAATGGCTAATTAATCCCTAGCAATAGCCACCCAATACTTGGGTGGCTATTGCTAGGGAAGTCGTCACTGTTTTACTTGAATTCTATCTATGTGCACGCCTCAAATGAGAGCGGTTTTCACTGCCCATTTGGGTATTCTCTAATTAAGCCAACCTTATTACCTTACTTTACCTTACCTATGTAACACCAGCTGTCTGGTACTGTCAGTGTCTTTCATTGCGTCCAGCAGTCTATGGTATTCATGGCTTTATAAGTTTACTGTGGTGCCATTTTCGGTTTTGGCTATTTCGGGGCGGTGGGAGGTTGGTTGGCTTTGGTTTGGTGGAGGATTAATATATATGTCCTCTTCGTCTAGGCTGGGAGCCGGCCTTAGCCTGCCTGTTGCCTTGGGTGGCTATTGCTAGGGAAGTCGTCACTGTTTTACTTGAATTCTATCTATCTATATATATATATATATATATATATATATCAAGACTTAAAAGGAAAACTGTAGTTGGAAAGTTCTCTTATTTCTGGATCTGATTTTCTCTACAAAGCAAAATAAGGCTAAATTTACAATAGAGAAAATTATGCAGAATATTCAGAAATGGCGAAAATAGTTTCATGAAGTGAGTTCCTATCCATCACCTACAATTACCATCATAATC